TAGAAAATGATAAAAGCATTTTTAGCATTTTAGCCTTTGTGCATGACTTTTACATGTCATTTATCTTAGTTCACACGAACGCTTCATCTATCTGCTCCTAACCCAGCCCCCCGTTCAATATCAGGACAATTGTGGCCCGCGAATCAAAAAGTTTGCCCACGCCTGAGCTACCATCTATATCAGAAGTGCACAGCAGTTTCAGTTATGTAACACACTATACCACTGTATGCCAGAATAGGGAAGTAGGCGCCCTCTATGGAGCATCGTGCAATGGCAAGCATTAACACCTTTTAATCTTTTCTTCAGTTACCCTGGGGAAGTTGCACTATTAAGTAATTCTATTTTAAGATGATAGCTATTTAGTAGGAAATATTTCAGTTGATATTTAAAGCTACAGCAATGAATGTGTCAACATGGAGGGAGGGGTCTGGGAAGGAGGGTGTTTGCTCCAGGAAATGAGGGGCTGCTGAAGTTGTTTCTAGTAAAGAAGTACATCAACAGGACGAGCTTTAACCAGAACAGAACAAACATCATTTGTGACAATGATTACTGAGTGAAACTGGGCGAGACTCTTCTGACATAATAACATCTGAGGTATTTTTAATACTCAAAATAAATTTACAAAGATAATGCCTTATTAGCAGCGTGAACATTTTGCTCCTTGTAGTCAATAACTGCTGTTCCTTATGTCAACACATGTTCAAAAGATGATGTAGGTAAGAGGAAGAAGTTCTGACAGCAGCAGCAGGATGCAGAGAGGAAATCGGCCAATAAAGAACTGGCCAGCAGCAGCTTTCAGTAGTAATCACAGGAAATGTCCATGTTTGCATTACAAGTTTGGAAAGGCTTTAATGTTGTTGTAATTGTTACTAGGGAAAAAGACACAGTTTTACAGTGGAATGGTCAACACATTCAGAGGAAAGCTGAGAAGAAAAATTCTAAACAAAACATAATTGCTTACTGTTCCCAGCTGCAGATTCACCAGTTGAACTAGTTGCTGATTGACAAAGGAATGTTCAGCTGTAAGAAGCTCTACTTTTTTTTTTCTTGAGAAACTTGTTTCTGGTCCAACCTTGGTAGCACCTGAATTGCTCATGTGCAGATGCCAAATAAAATCAGCTGGGTTTTTTTTCCCCTCCGCAAAGTTACGTTGGAACAGGAAATGGTTTCTAATGCTGTGTCTTAATACTAAAAGTACACCATAAAATCTTTCTGCTTACTTTCCCTGTAGACGCTTGGAATCAGTTGACTTTATTGGCAAAGTGGGCACAACGAAAAGGGGTTCAAAAGCAAGGAAATAGTCCACAAATATATGAGAAGAGTAGGGACTAATGCTCACAAGACTGGTGACTCACTCTGTGCGAAGCTCCATCAAACCCAGGGCCTTTTTACCCATGAATCACCTCTATAGTCCAGCTGGGAGGACAATAAAATAGAACTCTAAAAACCACCTACTTACTTACTGCCGGTGCTGTATGCACCACTTCCCACTACTTCTCCGCTGAATCAGCTGCATGTCTTAGATAAGGTTTTTAGTGTTTTCTCATGACTTTAAATGACTTTCTCTATATTTCTTCTCTTTCACCTAAACAGTGCTATACTCCAAATGACATCACCCTCCTTTGTTATGATTTTGCAGGAAACAAATGAACAGCTAAAACTGCAAGTCTGCACTTATACAGCTATTGCTTCCAAAAGTGAACATAATATATATTATTCCTAATTACTATGGTCGTGTGCAATGACAAATAAATCACTTTCATTCCCTGACACTGAGTTCAGTCATACATACTTAGTTTTCTTTTATTGCTTTTCCTTTATTTAATGAAATGTGTTCTTCTGAGAAAACTTAAGTTACAGTAAGTCTATGCAAAGAAAGTCCCACAATTATGATCACCTAATTTAAATCCTAGGGCCAAGCAGAGAAAAACAATATGTGCTGTATCAGAAAAAAAATACATTTCCTGGCCAGTACTGCATGTCAGATCAGTGTGAATACACATTTGGCAGCAGAATTTGAGGCTGATTGTCTGTAGGCCTCACCGTGCATTATTAACCAGAAGAACATTTTAGACGACAGTAAGGTGTGATTGTGTGTGAGCGATCGTATTGCACTTGTCCTACTTACACCAGCTTCCAGGTTGCCTTGAAATGCATTGCATCCTTTTGCAGTCTTCCTTGGACTGTCACACACACATACACTCACAAGAAGCGATTCAGTCAGCTGATGGATGACCCTGTGTTAATGTACTCTGTGGGACTTTGATGATAAACCATCAACATCACATGACCTCCTCTTTCTCACTCCCAGGGCCGGATGAGAAAGCGCAAAGTCATTAGACACTAGCTGACAAATGCAAGGAAACGGCCATCACATGTCTGACACGTCTGTGTGGCTGTGCTATGTCCAGTAAACCGACTCCTAAAGGCGGGACCACTCTGCAGCACGCACAGAGCAGCAAGTTCTATTGTGGTTTAAAGCAAAACTTATTTAATGTCATCATTTCAGATTGATCGATGAACAAGTCACAGAATTGTTTGTCGATATTGTTTTTAGTATATATTCAAAATAAAAACTTTGAGTTTGAGTTCAACATCAGCTGTACTGTGTCTCTGTAGATTGTAAAATATATGATAAGAAATGCCGAAGAGGAGCTTTGGCACAGCACGAGAAAGTTAGGAGTGGCAGTGAGGTACTTGAGGGTGGTTATGTGGTGCAGATTGTAAGCAAAGTTGGAATGAATTTGGGGTAACAGTAAGGATCAGCACTGAGGTCCATCAACAGTGACCTTTGGTGATTGAATCAGTGAACGTGAGCTCGTGTTCAAAGAAAGAATTGGCAGAAAGAAAAGTCTGCAAGTAAACTTTTAGTTATTGAAGGAGAGGAAAGAACCACAGACATCCAGTAACGTATGATTAAACAATTCAACCATGTCACAGGTGTGTTTATGTTACTATCCTGACTCTAATTGTAGCCTTTGTGGTTTTCTTTGTAACACTGTATTAATAATTTGCTACTTATTTGTAATTCAATTTTCTTCATCTGTCAGGAATATGAAACTAAGAGTGGCAGAGCTGGACCCGGCAACACAACGTCTCCCAGGCAGAGTGTGAGGAAAAACCTGGACTTTGAGCCTCTCTCTACCACGGCACTGATACTGGAAGACAGACCTGCGTATGTAAACACACACACAGACTGACACACACACTCGGGCGCCTTGTTGGACTATCCCACATTTTTCATTCTCTCCCTCCGCCAGTGGAGTTTGCACATCAGAAAATAAACCCAAGGGCGTCTCAGCTTTCCCATCATCCCATTTCTTATACTCCATTTTTCTTCCGCTCGATGACTACCCTGTTCCTCGGCAACTCTTACCGAGTCCTGCGTTTCTCTCACGCAGTAACAGAGACATGCTACTGAAAGTTTAATGGCCTCTTGGCCCGGCTCTGTTACCTGTCTTTTTGTGCTTTTTGCATTTGTCAACATGCAGGTGTATAAGATTTCACTTAGCCTCGCTGCTCTGCAAGGAAACATAGCAGATTAAAAAAAACCAAATATGTAGAGTCATTCGGCCAGACTTCCTGTGTTTCTAGGAAGTTGACTTGTGCCCTGTGACAAGCAAAAAACTGAGTTCAACTGCTGTTCAGTGTTCCTGCTTCAATAAATCATCCTTAGTGGGTGTCTCCCTCTGCTGGCAGCTATGTTTCTTAAACAGTATTTAAAATATACTTTACTCTTCAGATTATACACAGATAATATTAGATTTTTTTTTTTGAAAATGCTTTTGGGATATTTAAACCTTATATGACTATAATTGGCAGAAATCTGTTGTATAAAACATTATAAACAAGTTTTAGAATTCCCACATGGAAGCTGGACTCAAACTCTTTTTTGCTATACAACGTATATACAATATACTGTGTATATTGTGTACATAGCAAAACGTGTCGTATGCACACGAAAACAAAAGCAAGTTGATCAAACCTTATCTAAATTAAGGTTTCTGTGTGGGTGCATGTTTTCCCTCTCCATCTCTCAGCAGCACTTAACATTAATAATAAAGTAGTTTATAAAAATAAGGCCATACTGTAGCTGCTAAGCCATTAACTTCACCGCACGTATCTGTGTTACAGTAATCTGCCTGCCAAGCCAGAGGAGGAGGCTCAGAAGCACAGACAGCAGTATGAAGAGATGGTGGCCCAGGCCAAGAAGAGAGGTGAGCGAAAACCAGACGGATGACCTACTTTCTTCATCCTGTGTGTTAGGCTGTGGATCTCAAAGTATGGTGTGCACCTCTCCAAAGGGACACAAAGATACATTAATTTCCTTTTCAAATATTTTACTCTTTGTGCAACTGTGGAGCCTTGAAACAATAGCTGTGTGTGTGATGAAGAGTCCCATCAACAAAGGGGTGTACTGCAGAAAAGGTTTGGGGGTGAAAGGTCTTATCCATGTAGAACTTGTTTCATGGCTTTCATGGGGTTCATGTTTTTCTTTTCTTTTTTTAAAATTTAATATCATTTCTTCATCTTTCATATTTGTAGAGCTGAAGGAGGCACAAAAGAGGAAGAAGCAACTTGAGGACCGCTGTAAGATTGAGGACAGCATTGGTACAGCCGCTCAGACCTGGAACCAGGAGATTTTACCCAACTGGAGCACCATGTAGGAAAACACACACATTTTGACACATTTTTTTGACACACAGCAAACACACACATTTTGACACATTTTTTTCCACACTGTTGACATAACTGTCCTGTGAACAGCCCCCTAAAATGTATGACTATATTTGACATTTGAAATTTGTCCCATTACTACCATCTAGTGGTAGAAATGTTGTCATAAACAGTGTTAGACGTATGTTTAAATAAACATTGATTACATGTTACATATAGCATTTCCTTTTAAATGGATGGCTGTTTTATTTTGGCATCAGGTAAACTCAGCTGTAATATAGCATTTCCTTTTAAATGGATGGCATTTTTTAAAGTGTTTTATTTCGGCATCAGGTAAACTCAGCTGTGTAATTACATAATGATCAGTGACGCAGTAATGGAAATGACGGCCTGTTTTACCAGCACTGTGACTCAGTCATTCCAGTGTGTAGGATTCACTCTGAAATCTCTTTTTAATTATAGTGGTACAGAGCAGTTCTCAAGACATTGTTGTACAAAGCACGCCTCTTTTATCAGTAAAACATTTGTGAGAACATGTTTGCATACCAAGTTTTTCCACCGTCACAAAAATAAACAAAATGTTGAAATCCAAATTTGTATACCTCACAATAGCTTTGCGCCCAAAAGAGAATTTTTTTTGAAAATTTAATCAGTATAACGATAGAAATTAATTTGTAACGGTTTACCACACCTGTAAGTCTTTGTTCTATATGTATATTTTTTTTATAATGGAGCCTCATAGAATAAGAATTATCCAGAGTATGACCCACATGGTTAGAAACTTTTGTAAACTGATGCCAAAAAGCTTGACTTTGTTCGTTTTTGAAATTGATCCAGTCTTGCTCTTCATCCTTTCCGCTGGCAGGTGCACATCTCGACGAGTGAGAGACCTCTGGTGGCAAGGCATCCCCCCCAGTGTTCGAGGCAAAGTGTGGAGTTTGGCGGTGGGGAATGACCTCAACATCACACACGGTACGTTGGCGCAAATGTGTGACAGTGTATGACTGGATACAGTGCTGGACATGAAGGCCATAGAAGGATTGATTGAGTTGACAGAACCAAGGTGTGTTCTCCTGAGATGTTACTAAAAAAGCACTACTGGTACTTTAAAATGAATGTATACATTCTGTTAAGAAAATCACAAACATAATGATAACTGGACCACTCTATAATACTAAAATATTTGCATGTTGGAAGATCTGGGAAGACCCAGTCTACAACGATTTAACTAAAATATTTGCATGTTGGAAGATCTTACTTAGAGACCCAGTCTACAACGATTTCGTTTTTGTATAATACAAATATCTCTCCTGCAGAGGGTGCTCCAAACATAGTCTATTTTTGTCAGGCAGACAAGCAATTTTTAATGCCCCTATTAGCAGAATTTATGGACCCAGGGGCTCATTTTAGGATTTTATGCTAGGATTTTAGCATTAACTTGCATTTTGAGGCAATGTTTTTTTTTTTTTTAGTCATAAAGTATAGTATTTAAATTTTTGACATTTTTTAGTCATAAAGTATAGTATTTAAATTATAGACACATTGGTGTATTTAAAAAGAAATCTAAAAATAAGTGCTTTAGTCACTGTTTTCATAAATTGTGCAGCTAGTGTTTTATTCACAACATTGTTGGGATGTACAGCTCCACAGTATCTCAACTTCCAGTGATTCCTCACAATCCTCAACCATAGTTCTCTGGTGTTCTTCATTCACTTTTGCTGTCACTGCTGTGGTGTTTCTTTAATCCTCCAAAGAGTGTTTTCTGCTCAGCTTTGTTAGCCTTTGTCTACGTCCTCTTCACTGTAATGTGTCCCTGCAGAGCTGTATAACATTTGCCTGGCCAGAGCCAAGGAGAAGTGGAGGAACATGACGGCCCTCGCCCCAGAGATGGAAGCTGAAGGTTGACACCACATTGTTTTTATTATGGTGACATTTATGCATTTGCCTTTTTTTTGCATGTAATTTGTAAACTGTTTGTACATCTTCCAGATGCAGGTTCTTCAGACCGGGAGTCAAGTCTAGAACTGATCAAGCTGGACATTTCGAGAACCTTCCCCCATCTGTGCATTTTTCAGAAGGTCAGAGACAAGAGCCAGACATCACGACTTTCCTTTCTTATTGTTTTTTTCTTATCAGATGGCTTAGATTTGCGGTAACAGTTATGGGCACATGCAGCTAACTTCTTGTTGGTGCCACCATATATCGTTTCTTTTAATTAAGTCAGCTTTGTGATACTTGGACTCTTATCCATATGTAGGATTTAGGAAATACCACAGACAGAGACAGTGAGCCATTTTTTACACAAAAAGTGACATAATCAGACATGTGACATAATGTGACATGTGTACTCTCTTTGTACTTTTTTTGTTCCTTTGACACTTAAAGGAAATCCATGATGTCGTGTATAACTTTGTGTTTACACTTCACAGCCATGTAGTGTTTAAGTCAAACTATGTAAAATTAATTTAAAATTTAAAATTATCTGAACTAAACAAGGTAATACTGTAATGTAGAAAAGCAAAACAAAGCTAAACCTCAACTTTTTAGAATGTAAAGAATCCTGTTAACGCGCGAACAACTGATCCTTTTCCTGCGTCAAAGTACAAGTATATTTTTAGGCTCTTTGTTCTTTTGTCTTCTTTATTCTTTTGTTTCTCACCAGGGCGGGCCCTACCACGACGTGCTGCACAGCATTCTGGGAGCATACACTTGTTACCGGCCAGATGTTGGTTACGTAAGTCATGTTATAACAATTGCTGAGTCAGCTATTGCTCCAATTGCTCCAATGAACTTTATTTAAAAATAAGGCTGACAAATTCAATAAATAAAGAAGATAAATGTAAAATTTTGTTTGATTTTTACCACAGTGGCACAAAGAAATAAAATACTGAAATTAAAAGTTTGTACCTAGTGATAGCTACATGGCCCATGAATGAGGCCTGCCCCCCATTTTGGGAGCCACTGTTCTAAATTTTCAGTAACAGCTGAATCAACAATACAATAGAAATGAATTTATCATAGTTGAATAGACCTGTAAGGTTAAAGAACAACTGCAAAATACAAACGATAAATGCACTGAAATAGTTAAAAACACAGTTTAATTTCAAAGACAAATGTACTGGGTTACTGTTACTAAGAGTTTTGTGGAATCGTGTTTCTCTGTGGTCATGTGGTCACTTTTCTTTGTGTTGAAACAAGTTGACTTATTAGAGCCTGTGGTGCAGGTGTTGGTGGGTTTGAAAGTGTAAAGGCAAGACTAACCTTGTTTGTAATCGGAGCACGGTCTGATGGTTTAGCAGTGGTGTAGTTGTAATATTTTTATTTTTTATGGCTATTAAAAAAAAAAGACATTTTTTAAAGATTCAAACCACAATATCACACCTACCCACTGTTTAATGTAAGAGAGAAAAAAAGAAGTGCAGGACATTAAACAAGAGCGTAGGGTTGTTAAATCAGAGGAGCTCGGCGTGTAGGTGGTACCAGACAACCACATCTGTGGGACGGCAAGATATTTAACCCATCGGACCAACTTGATGCAACTTTCAAATTCTAACCTTAATCTTTTTCTTGTTCCTTTGACACTTCAGAAATCCATGATGTCGTGTGTAACTTTGTGTTTCCACTTCACAGCCCTGTAGTGTTTACCTTAGATGCTGTGGTTTCTCTCTGCTCCTCACCACAGCTCTTTGTACTCGTCTTTAAATGACTGTGACTTCCTGCCGAGAAGACCCCGACCTCCCGAGCTGCTTTATATGCACAATAGAAATACAACACTGTGTGCATGCAGAGTTTTTTTTTTTAAAATTTTTTGCACCTGCCTGTGTCTGCATTTAGTTGTTGATCAGTTCTTTTTGAACCTGACGTGGAGACAGAAAATTAACTTGTAGCTGGCGTTCGTCAGTGATTTAAATCTGACACAGGCAAACGTATTGTGTGTGCTGTTGTTTACAGGTGCAGGGAATGTCCTTCATCGCTGCAGTGCTCATCCTCAACTTGGACACGGCCGATGCCTTCATAGCGTTCGCCAACCTGCTCAATAAGCCGTGTCAGATGGCCTTCTTCAGAGTGGACCACAGCCTTGTTAGTACACATGTACACATATGCACCGTACTTACATGTACACACACAGGAAGAGGTCGGGGTGCCTGAACACACACACTTTTGAATACAGTGTGTTAAACTGGCATTGTATATATACTCATATGTATGTACGTATTACTGCCTGTATAGTAAATAGTAAGCATACATAAACATGGAGACATACAGTGACAAAGTATATACATACAGTACATATTTATACATATATAAATATACAGTGATCTTTGATCTTTGACTTTACAGTGATTAATGAGCTTATCTCAATTTTCATTTTTAAAGCCCAAAATTTCATATGTATAATTATTTTATGTTTTTTTTAGTTTATTTTATGCTATATATATCGCAAGATCGGACAAAAAAAATCCGCGCTGTACTGAGGGAGTGAAAGGAGAACCGTGATATAGAGAGGGAACACTGTATGTGTGTGTATATATATTAACTGTATTTATATACAGTATGTATATGTATGTCTATCCATATACAGTATATGTATGCATATGCACATATTTGTGTTTATATATATATATGATAGATACAGTAGATAAGTATTTATATTTAAGTATGAATCCATATGTATGTGTTTGTATATTGTTTTATGTTAAAAAGTTCAATTTTAAACTATTTTTATTTGCAACCGCTTAACCATTTATTTTCACTGTCTATTTTATAGTAGTCAAAATACAAACAAATTACAAAGAAGTAAAATATGGAATGATGCTTAATGGAACTTTCTCTTGTTCTTTTTCTGCAGATGTTAACCTATTTTGCAGCATTTGAAGTGTTCTTTGAAGAAAATCTACCAAAGCTCTTTGCACATTTCAAGAAAAACAACTTGACCCCTGATATTTATTTAATCGACTGGTAAGTCCACAGAGTGGGTTGGGGTTTTTCATTGTGTTTGTTATATTCATGTGAAAAGATTCACATGGAATTATTTATAGTTTTTGTTTTGTTTTTTTAAGTTATACCACTGCTGTGCTTGTTGCAATGTGGGCTTGTCACTTGTTCAACTTTGACTCCACATTAAGATCACACCTTTGCCACAGTACTCGGTGTCAAAACACGATTCTGAGAAAACCAGACAGACATATATGTGGGCATTTATGAATATATGTAGGCTGTGTGTCTGTGAGCTGCACCCACTGCACGTGGAAATAACTAGTTTAGTTTCGTAACTTAAGGTTATGTCATAAGAGTGACATTGCTATTCCATTAGATATAAATTTCCATTTTATTACATCATTTTCAATTGTTAAAAAATGTCTGCACCCTGATGGCTGTCAATAGTCTTCATGATTGTAGTGAGAACTCACTCTTGATTACTCACTAATATCGAGTACCAATACCACTGGTACTTTTGATGGATATATGTTTCAATACGTAGAGAATTTCAATTAACCCAATGTCAGATCATTTTGGACAAAGATCTTTTGTTTCTGAAAAAAAAAAGCAGCACAGTCACCCTACAATAGAGAGTTTTATTATTTATATAGTGAAACTAAAGTGCAAAATAATATACAGACAACTCTCGTAATATTTGTTTGTAATGAAATTGCAAAATAAAGCAGGCTTGCTGTTAACAGAAGTGCATTATATTTTTTTTTATAATTTTGTTTTTGGTCATTCACAATTAATCATGATTAACCGTGTTTAATTGTGATCCTGTTTAATCTCAAAAGTACGGGAACTGTTGCGTATTGTCTTGACCAGATGTTCTATAATTGTTTATTCTGTCCTTATCAGTGTCTGTATTTGAAGACCCTTAAATGTACCGTTCCCATTTCCTCTGACCGTCCTTCCAGGATCTTCACCCTGTACAGTAAGTCCCTGCCGTTAGACCTGGCGTGTCGGGTGTGGGACGTGTTCTGCCGGGACGGCGAGGAGTTCCTGTTCCGCACGGCGCTGGGCCTGCTGCGTCTCTACCAGGAAGTCCTGACCTGCATGGACTTCATCCACATGGCTCAGTTCCTCACCCGGCTGCCCGACCTCATCCCCGCCGACCAGCTCTTCCAGCACATCGCAGCTGTCCACATGACCAGTCGAAACAGGAAGTGGGCTCAGGTGGGGCGTTTGCTCCGTATCCGCTTATTTTGTTGTACACTAAAAAACAAACAAACAAACACATTTTCTGTTTCTTTTAGGTCCTGCTGGCCTTGCAGAAAGATCCAGAGCGAGGGAGCCCAGTGCTGAAGCGCTGAGCTGAAGTTAGAAGGTAACACTAATGGACTCCTCCTCCTCCAGGTCCTCCTGGAGAGACACTGCACTCCTGTCAGGCTAAGCAGACCTGACGTTCACCTGGGTTCGGTCAGAGGACTCATCTGCTCGTTGCTGCAGTGATGAACGTCTTTGTCCAGTTCTACATCACTGCTCTGACCTGAAGCAGAGCCCCGGAGACGCTCTGTCAGGGAAGAGTCGGGGGGGGGTTGGGGTGCGAGAAAGAAAACGAGGCCTTACTTTTTTCCACCTTCCATCCTCTGTCCAGATGTCAAGCGGTGAACTAAAAACTTGGGCCGTCTCAGGCTGAAGAATGTACTACACACACTCCTCATCCACACCAACCAGCAGACTAATGCAGGTTTCTACAGGCCAGGGGAAACGGCTCCGACCCCCTGCTTTGTTTTTGTACTCTCTCCCTGGCAACAGTCTTTTCTTTTTATGTTAAGTATACAGTAATTCCCCCGATGTCTTTAAAAACAGTATTGAGCAGGGAAATTTAAGCAGTTTGTCCATGTGTAGTATCGCCCCTGCTCCGCCGGGAGGCGGGGCCCGGGGGCCGCTCTGTGGGGGAAGAGTCGGGGGGGGGTTGGGGTGCGAGAAAGAAAACGAGGCCTTACTTTTTTCCACCTTCCATCCTCTGTCCAGATGTCAAGCGGTGAACTAAAAACTTGGGCCGTCTCAGGCTGAAGAATGTACTACACACACTCCTCATCCACACCAACCAGCAGACTAATGCAGGTTTCTACAGGCCAGGGGAAACGGCTCCGACCCCCTGCTTTGTTTTTGTACTCTCTCCCTGGCAACAGTCTTTTCTTTTTATGTTAAGTATACAGTAATTCCCCCGATGTCTTTAAAAACAGTATTGAGCAGGGAAATTTAAGCAGTTTGTCCATGTGTAGTATCGCCCCCATTAAGCAAGTTCATTATTTTTAACTTTTTTTTTTTTAACTTTTTCAGAACGCAGCGCGGCTTAAATGGCCATTCCGGGGATAAATTAAAAATTAAAGGTCAAACTAAACTTGGTTAAAAGATAATAATTATCGAAGGAAAGCCTAACTTTTACATTGTCTACCCACTGCCATCCAGAGCCAACAACTGGCTCCGCCCACGTTTTCTAACAGCTAACTTTCACTTTCTTTGAGGTGGTCTTTTAATGGTTCTTAACCTTGTTGGAGGTACAGAACCCCACCAGTTTCATATGCGCATTCACCGAACCCTTCGGCGATGGCCAAGAGGGGGCGTGTCATCACGAATCATATAAGAACCGAACACCGAACCCCTGAGACTGACTCACCGAACACCTGGGGTTCGATCTAACCCAGGTTAAGAACCACTGCTTTAGGAGATCATTAATTCCATTAAACAAGATAAAGACACCGCAGTGACCACTAAGAACTTTTGTTCACTACTGACCATCAACTTGAATTTTTGGCGGCTTTAACAAAGCATCGTCATTTGCGTAGATGAATTCTCTGCATCGGTTAATCAGATACAGGACGTACCTGAAAAGTCAACAAGGTTGTGTGGGGCAACAAAGATGCTGAGAAATGCAGTTACTGCTTAGTCATTGGTTTTATTTTATGTTCTGTAGTACGTCCGCCAAACGTTTCCAGCTGCTCCATGTAAATGCTCTCTGTGACATTCTCCTCAGCAGAGGCACACCCATTTAGTTTCACACATGCTGTAAGTGAAGTTTTGAGTCCAGCGCCTGCGGCCATTTATTGTCTCATGAGCCCTAGGTTGATCTCCGTGGTGTCAAATTTTTGACGAGGTTATGCCCAAATCTTTGCGTACCTGGATGGTTACTTTAAATTGACCACTGGTGACCTCTGCGGAGGTCACGGAGAGGTCTCTGTCACCCACCACTCCAGTGTGCACAGACTACTTTCTGCAGCACCCTTCTTTTGTAGATGGGACTATTATTAAGCCCCCTCGCCCAATATTAATAGATCTAGAGCTATTGCTTCCAAACTCCAAATAAATCTACTTAAGTTAATTTACTTCATAAACTTTACTTAAAAGTTATTATAAAAAAAAACAAACATTTTTACACACACAAAGAAGTTCCATTACATCATCTTTTACACTGTGGCTTAAAAATGAAAAAAAAAAATTAATTTGACCTGCTGCGCTCCCTTTGCAATACACCCCGCCCCCCAGTTTGGGAACCACTGCCTCAGACTATCCCCCACAGACAAGTCTCTTCTTCTCTACATATGGGAAATAGTTTGTAGGCTCAGAAAGAGGCAATAAGCTGCCTGGTAAATAGTTTTGAATTCTGTTTATTAATCACTGGAACTGGAATAAACCATGAGGTCATGCCTTACTTTCTGTCAGACACAGATCAGGTTTGGTTCATGCTCACAGTATGCAACAGGGGTCTGGATTTCTGTGGACCCTGCGAGCGCACATGACGCATTACTGCTCCCCCTACTGACAATAAAACTGCATATGGAGTAATGACATGGGAACAGACAGAAGTACTGATTATAAAGTGATGGTCAATAGTAAAAAACACGTGTCGTACAGTTACATTTAACTGCGAAAAGTAAGAAAAATTATTCCATCATATGTAGTCACAGAAATCTATATTTTCTGAATCAAACATCGCCCTAACGATGCCCTTCTTCCAAAGCATGCCACCAAACATCCAGTAGTGAGTACAAACCTGGTCTGACTGTGTCCTACGTCCTTCATCTTTAACTCCCTTGAGATACATTTCATTGTGTTCGTGTTTTTGATCCTGGTGTCTTTGATGTGAGTATCTTTGTGTGCATTTATTTAATATTTATCCCAAAAAAAGGACAGCGGAACGCAAACTGAACCTGAAGGTTCTTTTCGGTTTATTGAAAAGAAAAGGAAAAAAAAAAGAAATGCAAATATGCACTATAAACACACTGAAGGAGAACGTGAGAATGACCACTAGGGGCAGATTCCACCTTTATTGTTGCGAAAAAGCTCTCATTGTAGCCATTTGTTCCTTCTGTTTGTTTGGACAATGTGGCATTTTGAAAATTGATCATTTAAAATATGTCGACTTCGCGCTGTTTTTTATACCACCTCAGTCACAGACAACACTGATTTATTGTGATACTAAGGGAATCTTGAAATCTTGAGTTGTATGAAGACGCTATTATGCAAAACAAAGGTTACATCCTACAGAAATTGTAGATTTTTTTGTTTGTTTGTTTGTTTTAATTTAAAAATGGTAGCATTGTGTGGGTATGTTCTGGCCACTCTGGAAAAATAAGAAGTCATTGGTTGGTATCAAACATTAAGGCTCATGTTTTCATCAAAAAATACTGTGATTTAGGATGGCAAATTTTCTGTATGATACTTTTAAAAACCCATCTGGCTTTCAGGCTGCACTGCACAGGCAGCATCATGGCGTGTGTACAAGGCTGCCCGTTCAGGCTACAGCTAACGGAAGTCAAGTTGTTCAGTAGGAACTGATTTATATAGGGTTATATAGGGTTGCTTGGGACTTGTAGTACAGTGTAATATTAAACTCCACTTTGATACTTAAAACAGTGATACCCAAATTTTAGCACCCCTAAGTTGAGCTATTGCCCTATATTTAAAACACTATAAAACCTAAAGAACTTATTTTGTTATTAACCAAGGAAAATAAAATCACAAATTGATTCAGTTTTTCTCCATTGTGCCCTGTATAAGGCACCTGCCCCCCCACTTTGGGAACCGCTGATGAGCCCTAAATCGGGCCACAGACTCAGTACTACTGTGCACTTAGTAGAAATTGGACCTATTTTGCCATTAGCAGCAGCTGCTGATTTCACGTTAGTAAATGAAGTGATGTCATTACTGTAGTCATACACCCTCATGTGGAGCTCGACAAGTGGTTCAGGTTTTGACATGGCATTATTTGATCATCAGACTTGGTTGTTGGATAAGTTCTGCTGAATATCTTCCACATGATGTTATTTACTGCTCAGTTTGCACAAATGTGTGGTTGACGTCTGAGAAGACTTGTGCGTACGTCCACTGTGTTCTGCTGTTGATTGTGAAGCTGCTTGGCGTGTCGTGTTGTGCTACTGATTCTGTCTAAAAAAACGGCGACGTCTCCCCATCCCAGAGTGTCGAGGCACCACACATCAGGACGGCAATAAAGATTTTTTTTTGCACATATATGTGAGCCTCTTGAGTTGTGCCTCAGCCTAAATATAAGACTTGTTCTTCTAAAGAGGGTCTGTCTGTTCTCCATGAATCCGTCTTCTGCAAAGACCCGGCCGTGTGATCCACGGGGGCCGGAACACCAGTGCAGTTAAACTTTTATTTTGTTGACTACATCACTGATTTCTCTGTGGTTTTATCTGGTTGTCTGAAGTAGTTTGGTTTTCTTTGTTTGTTTTTTTTTGTTCCTCTTGATGAGACAAAGATACACACGGAGTAATCGTGTTACTCTGTTTCACTTGAAATGTACATTAACAGAGGTTTTATTAAAATAAAGAGCTGTATAAACTCGTAGACTGTAAACACTCGCGTGATTTATGCACACATACATTTCTATACCTTACCTGCCTTGTCAAACGCTCTGTGCTGACCAGCAGTACTCATCATACATACAAGCATACTAACTACAAGGCTAACGATTTTTAAACGATAACAAAATTTTTTTTTTTTAAAAAACTACCTATTCCACTATTTGTACTATGGGTCATTAACTTGTCAGGCCAAGAACCAGCTCTGACCCCCTCTGCAGCACTCTGTGGACACCCGAGGGGTTGCCAACCCCCAGTTTAATACTTCAATATAGAGGATTCTTGCAGTTTCAATGGTCAGTTTTTAAAGAGTTAGATAATACTTTATGGAGTGTTGAAATATTTCTCTATAATATATATATATAGTTGTTATTAAACTAGCCCCGAGGTCAGGTACTCTTTGTGTTTAATACTAAGGTATTCAAAATACACAAGACGTTTTTATTTTAAATTACTCAGTTTCGAACCTCAGTGTACACAAAAATTTCAAAACATTTAGTTTCTCTTTGGCAGTGATGTCAAACTTCCAGCCACTTCCCGCCCCCCATATCTGGCCTTCAAATGTATCTTTAATTAGTTTTTGGTCGGTCAGTTGAGAACAAGAAAAAAAACATTTAATTGTTTGTTTGTGCTGTTGTTCTCTACAGTATTTATATTGAACAAAAACTACGAAAACAAAAGTAATCTTGTCCCGAGCTGTGCATAGAAAAAACCCCATATACAAATACATGATATTAAGTGGGTGTTTGTGTGTGAATACAGATATACACACATGTGCTTCATCTGCAAGACCACATCTGCAGTTAACCACTAAGTTGCTAACCGAAGCTGAGCGGAAAATTTCTTTTACTTCAATCTACAGAAACCACATCCTGTCTTCCTCCGTGTACCCTTGGCCAGACATCTGTGTCTATGATTACCTGTCAGCTTGATAACCAGAGCCCCTGCAGCTGAGAACATCATTGTTCATCCTGTGCATCACCATGAAGAACCTTCACCTCCTCCTGCTCTGCGTCCTGGGTGCCGCCCTGCTGTCCTCTGTGCTCTGCATCAGTGAGTACAATTACATTGTCTCCTCTGTCCTGGAGTCGAACCACTGACCTGATGGTGCTTTCCAATTATCATTTCTTCAGATTCCCTGGGACCTAATGACTGCTGCTTCAACCATTATCCCAGAAGAGTGAAGAAGAGCCTCATCAGCTCGTATTATGTCACTGACTTCCGCTGTCCTAAGACTGGAGTCATGTAAGTTCTGAGGTCATTAGCTTTGGCTTTAATGTAGTACTGTAAGTTACTTTGATTCGTGCAAAAAAAAAATCACTTTTAATACATTATTTTATAATGACATTTTTTTATATTTTTAGTTGATGTATTACATTTGTCGTTCAGAGCAGCTGTTTAGTTGCTTCAATTCCATATGCCATTTTTTTCAAACTTAACTTAATTAATATAATAATTTTAATAATTTTAACTTTTTTTATTTATATGGACTCTGTAGATATAGATCTTCAAAACGTTATTTTTTCTTTCAGCTTCGTGACACAAAACAAAAGCCGCATTTGCGTGGATCCGGAACTTTCCTGGGTCCAGGGCGTCATGAAGGACTTGGATGAAAAATCATTTTAAAGCTTCCCCCGTCTGGAGACAAATGCATCACTGAAATATTATTTTTTTGAATCATTATTTCAAAGTATTATGACAATTTGTATCTTTAAAAAAAAAATATCGGAAGGTTTCCAATATTACTGTGCAACCTAGCTGGAACTTTCTCCGTGCTTGATGACATGCTGTTCAATTTACAATCATCATAAAGAATCGTACAAATAATGTTTGTAGTGTGTAGTTATTTTATTAGTAGACAGTAGCTAGCAGTGGCTAGCATAGTCTCTTTTTGGTTTTCACAGAAAATATTTTGATACTATATATATATATATATACATATATATATATACATATATATATATATATATATATATATTTATGTACATAAGTGTTGACATTTTACTTTTGTTATATGATATAACAAAATATAATATTCTTATTAATTTGGACCTGCTAACTAAATAGCAGTAGAAGTACGAGAGTGTCATGGACGTCCTGTGTAACAGGAAGCAGCCGTTTGCTCTCAGGGTCTTTGCAGCTCTCAGGCTATCATCATTCAGTATTTGGTTCCTCTGGGGCTCAAACTCACGACCACCTGCGTGTAAGGTAGATCCATAAGGCAGAAGTAATAACTGCTACACCTGTATTATTTTCCAACTGTTTTGTATACAGCTCATACTAGCTTTACTTATACTTTACTTAAGCTTATATTAGCATAGATGAATAACAATTACACAAGTTCTTCGTTTTGGAGTTTACAAATATAATTATATGGAGAAAAAAAAAGTTTAACTGCCCCTTATTTGGAAATGTAATGTATCAATTTCATGTAATCATCAGATCATTTAACGTAGGCTAAAACTGGAAAATTCGTAAAATTGTATTCTACGCAATTATAAATAGCGCGTTTGGAGTTTATTTGGTTTTATTTTGCTTTTCTATAATTGTAAAACATTATGCTCGCGTTCGTCTTAGATATAATTTTCAATATAAAATTGACTGTATACAATTTATATATTTCCCCACAATATTTTAACTGTTAAAGGAGTTTAAGAGGATAATATTTACATATCAGAAAGCTCCAAGCAACTGATATAATTTTCAATATAAAATTGACTGAAGTGACCGAAGTGATTTTTGGTCATTTAAATTCCATAGACTTTGCTTAATAACCAATATTAACTCAATAACTATATAAATGTTTTCTTTTGATTTGATTTAAACGCATACATTATATTTGTCCAGTCACAACAGCGACGTATCTTCACAACGCATTTAGGAGTTTTAACTCCTCTCCTGTGACACTGTAAAAATTTTAATTCCATATAAATCATTTAAATATACCTTGAGTATAAATTTATTGTTTAAATAAATTTAAATTAAATACTAAAAGATAACAATTTGCCGAGTTGTAGCATCCCCCACGCTAATTTTTTACAAAGACGCAGGCGTCTGAAAGAAAAGAAAAAAACACCTGAGGAGCAATAGTGACATCTAGTGAAGAAAAATGAGCACAACATACTTTTTCAGAAACGGTATCACGTAAACAGCAGGTTTCCTTTGTTTTTATTTATTTACGTGTTTTGGTACGCAGACAGTGCAGACAGTTTGACCGGCAATTTTAGCGACAGAATTTTTTTAAATCAAACGTTGAATTGATTGAAGACATAAACAACGCAGAATATGATAATGCCTGTATTATTTTTCCCTTCAGGGAAAAAAACAGGTTCAATCAATTATTAATATGGGTCAAACAGTGATGTCCGAAGAAAAAACATGAAACACATTTGGCCCAGTTTGTAAATGTGGCAAAAAAAACACATTTGGCCCAGTTTGTAAATGTACAATAAGCGGCACAATGTAAGAATGTCATTCTGCCATTATAGTTGCTTAAAATATCAAATTAAAAATATTTAAAAATACAAAAGAAAATCCTGTTATTGAACATGATTTGCCCTCTACTCAGTCCCTTACTTCACTGACTAATGTTCATCTTCTTCCTCCATCTGCCACAGGAAAACACAAGCTCAGCCTGTCGACACTTCAGCTCCTCCAGCTGCTCCTCTAGGAGGTTGCAGAAATCTGCTGTCTTCTCAAAGTCCCGCAGGAGGACCATGTTACCCAGCAGTCCCCGGCACTCCTTTAGCCTCTGGTTGTCTCTCTGCAGCCTGTTGCGTTCCTTCTTTGTTCTGGTCAGGATGTGTCTCTTTCTGGCCACTGTGGCCTCCACCTCTGCCAACTGCTCTCCCTTTACTTTGACCTCCTTTTGGCACCAGGACAGCTTCTCTTTGATGTTGGTCAGGACCTGACAAGTCACATCCTTCGTTATGGCAACGACTTCTCACATCCTGACCATGTTAAAAAATCTTTCATCTCACCTCTAAGCTGCTGATGATCTTGGCCTGCAGTTTCATACATTCCTCATTTTCCTTCTCAGCCTGTTTCTTCTGCTCCAGCCTGGCAGTCTGCAGCTGGCGGTACTGAAGCTGCAGCGGGTCCCGGCCGTGCTCCTCTACTTCTTGCAGCTCCACTTTCAGCCTGTGGATCTTCATCTTTAGCTTGATGTGCCTCATTCGCAGCTTCACCAGCTCGTCCTGCCGCAGCTGCTCTGTTGCCAGTGTGGCCTCTGCTTTGGCCAGGGCCTCTGTTTTGCCCAGACATCGACTCAGTGCCGCTACAGCTACCTGCTGCTTCAGTGCCATGAATGCTTTCCATTCATTATCAACCTAAGGACATGAGAAGGTTAAAACACGGATCAGTGAATTGTATTATATATTTTTTTAAATTATAAAAAGTTGGAAAAAACAGACAGTATTTTGTTTGTTATCACAATCCATAACAGTAATAATAATAACAGATAATTTGTAAGACACAGTATGAGTGCATACATGTTCAATATCTCATGCATAAATGTTAAAATGTCAGTTGTTTTTAAATTTATTTAATTTCCCAGTGCAATACATTTTTCTATGTACTTTGCAGATTTCCTCTCTGCCTTTGCATGTGTCTCAATACGCAGGTCACGTCCCTCAGGCTTCCTGTGTTGCTCCATGTGTAGACTCTTTGTGCTCATTTCCACTGCCAGAGGCTAGTAAGATATATATATGGTTTTTAAGATCAACTTAATTGAAATACTCCAACAAAACTTGGCACCATAGTCATTCATGTAACTGTAGTTTGTGTTTTTTATAATAACAATAATAGTAATAAAAACACTCAGAACCTTTTTTTGAGCCACAACACATTTTACATTAGACCACCACGAAACAAAAATTTCACGTAATGTATATTTATATAAATAAGTATAAGTTACATTAGACCACCACGAAACAAAAATGTCACATAACGTATATTTATATAAGTATAATGTATAACATATTATGATGTATAATAATGTTTTTGTTTCAATTTACTCACAAATACTGTGTGTCTTTAGTTTAACTCAAAGCCGATATTCTTGCAGGAATTGAAGAAAGACGCAAAAAAAGTCCAACCTTTCTACTTTATATACACCAGAAGTGGAAATTCTTTTTGCAAGTAAATCTATTTTTCCAAGAGCTGTAGAGAAAATTTAAATAGGTCTGAAAATCTTTGCTGCAAGAAAAAAATGATTTTGTTTAATTATGCTAATGTTAGCTTAATAATAAAAGATACGATCTGTAATGCTGGGTACAAAATACTTGGAAAATACTTGTGATTTTTCTTATTCATATAAAAGGCAATCACTTAGAATTAAAGGTAACTGCCATGCATTTTCCCATATTAAAATGTACACTGAGAAAGTAAAGAGTGAAACAACCTTTTCCAGGTTCTCCTGGGACAGCAACCTGAGCTCCTCGGTTTTCTGCTGCGCTGCTTCTGTTTCAGCAGCAAACTGCTGCTTCCTCTCACTCAGGATGTCCATGCACCTCTCGTACTCCTGCTGCTGCTCGGACACAGGTATCTCCCTGTCCAGCTGCAGGTCTTCTCTGGTCTTCCTGCGGAGGTACTCGGCCAGCTTCACCTGCAGCTGGCTGTTGCGTTGACTGACTTCTTCCTTCTCCTCCAACAGCTCCTCGAGGAGGTGCATGTACTCTTCATAGTTGATGTCAACACAGGGTGACAGATCAACGGCGGCCAACTCCCCTTCTTCTTCTTCTTCTTCTTCTTCTTCTTCTTCTTCTTCTCCTGCTCTTCCTTCTGCCTCATGTGCAGGACTTGCAGACCTCTCGCACTGTAAAGTCTCAGAGTGATTTGCTGCTGGTTGGTTATTACTGTTGTTATCAACACTGTCCTCCTGGTTACTGATCTCCTGGTTGTTAACTTTCAACCCTTCATTTGTGCTGCCCTTGACAGGTTGGAAACAATCTTCACTGCTATCAGTTGGCTTAAAGTCGGCTTCGTCAACAGTCGGCTCACCAGAGGTACTTCCAGGATTTTCTTGATCTAGGTTGGATTCACACTCACCTGGAATTTCCTCTGTTTCATTTTCATTAACAGGAATAGGAGAATTCTTCAAACTGGATAAAACTTCTACAGTCTCACACTGTAGACCATTGTTCACCTCTTCTTCTTCTCCTTCTTTATATTCTGTCTCTCCATTCATTCTTTTTAAATATTCAAGTATATATTTTGGTTCAAAGATGTGAGGCGCTAGTATTTTGCAGTCACTGGAAGTGTCGATTTTGTTTGTGTTGTCCTGGAGACTGAACTCGGGTCAGCCAATCAGATGCGCCCTCGCACAGGATGTGTGAGCGGCTCGTCGATGCGTTGTGCGCATGCGCGCAACACTGCCTCCAACAACAAGAAGCAGGAGCCAGCAAACATGGCCGACCTGGGCAAGAAGTACTGCGTGAACTGCCTCGCAGACGTCACCAACCTGCGGCTCCGCTGCACCGACTGCCCTGATATCGAGCTGTGTCCGGAGTGCTTCTCGGCGGGGGCAGAAATCGGGAATCACCGCAGATGGCACGGCTACCAGCAGGTCGACGGCGGTCGCTTCTCTCTCTGGGGTCCCGACGCAGAGGGAGGATGGACCAGCAGGGAAGAGCAGTCGCTACTCGATGCCATCGAGCAATATGGATTCGGAAACTGGGTACATCACTTTTTCATTTACCTAAAAAAAAACATTTTTGCACACTTTGTTAGATAGACGTTTTGTTTAAACGTGTTGTGATAACACGAGTGGAAGTTATGCTGTAACAAAACTGATATGGCGTCGTTAAAAGTCGTTAAACATTTTGTGGGCTTAAGTTTTTAAATTGTAGATAAGAAGTTAGGCTAGAAATACGAGCGGATCAGTCGTGTATTCTCTTGAACTACCGACCCGTAAATGAAATCTTATCTGCGTTAAACTATGTGTTTTTAAAAAGTTCAATAAGCCGTTAACAATAAATTTAAACAGCAGTTGAGGAGTAAATAGTGAGAAGTCTGAACGTTTATCACGAGGAAAATAATCAAAAAGGTAAAAGTCACATACAAAACACACAGATATAGAAACAATATTTGTTGAATTGTACATCTAGTTGTCTGGTTTTAGTGTGTACAGCAGTGTGGCCCTTTAGGGTGTCTGACAGGAAGGTTGGCCAGAATTAACCCTGGTATATGAATGCTAACCCAAGTGGACCCAAAGCTAACTTAAGCTCACGTTAGTGTGTATGAAATATATCCTTATATTCTTATACTTTACTCTTAGCATGAAATGGTTAGACACATTTTCAGAAAGTTCTTTTTTTTTTGCAAGACCATCACACTCCATCCGTATCCTATGCATGGATGCGCTGATACAGACTTGTAGAACAAGTGCTTTGGCTTCATGTAAGATTTTTTTTTTATATAATGTTTGTGAAGGACCAAATGTGTGACTCGATTTCCCCAACACATTCCTGGCATACACATTTTAATCTGTACAAACCACCTAGGTGGCAGTTGCTGCCACCTAGTGACTGGAGGCTTGTTATCATTCAAGCATTACAGCAGTGGTACACTTATGTCCAATGCCATAATCATTGAAGGCCCCTCACCCTCCCACACTATGAGAAGTACTGCCTCAGAGACACTGACCTGTTCAACTTAGTGAGCAACTCAGTGAGTTAGTCATTAGTCATTGTGACAGGTTCCAAATAACCTTTTAAAATTGTATTTGTTTGCCATAAAATAAATCATATGTATTATACTTCAATTCATTTTTACCCAGAAAGGTCAAGAGGTCAGTCCCCTTGGGCCAGGTTAATGTCATGTTATACATGTTGCTTTATCTGCATATATCAGCATGTTTTGTTATTTTGGAGAAAATGTTTTTGGGTGTATTTTGGAGGCTGTAAATAGAAATACTTTCTCTTCCTGTTTGTTCGGTCCAGGAGGACATGTCTGCTCACGTCGGACCCTCCCGTACCCCTCAGGAAGTGATGGAACACTACGTTACTATGTACATCCACGGAAACCTGGGTAAAGCCTGCATCCCTGACAGCATTCCCAACCGGGTCACTGACCATACTTGCCCAAGTGGGGGCCCTCTGTCACCCAGCCTCACCACTCCTCTCCCTCCGTTGGACATAAGCCTAGCAGAGCAGCACCAGTTGGGCTACATGCCGCTGCGCGACGACTATGAGATCGAATATGACCAGGATGCAGAGAAGTTGATCAGTGGGCTCTCGGTAAACTACGACGATGAAGATGTAGAAATTGAGATGAAACGAGCGCACGTGGACATGTACGTACGGAAGCTCAGAGAACGTCAGCGACGGAAGAACATTGCACGGGACTACAACCTAGTTCCTGTCTTCTTGGGACGAGACAAGAAAGACAAGGAGAAGGAGAAGCCAGGAATGCTTGGCACTGTAGGTACTGCTGGTGTTGTAGCAGGCATAGGAGCTGGAGGCAGTGGCTCCAGTGGATCAGGTTCTGTAGCAGCTACAGGATCGGGATCTGTTCCTAACACACCTAAAAGAAAGATAACCAAGGAAGAGAAGGAGCAGCGGGTGAGGCTGCGGGGACTTTGCCAGTTTATGGCCCATCGAGAGTTTGAGGAGTTCTTCGAGAACATGCACAAAGAGCGCATGCTGAGAGCCAAGGTGCGGGAATTACAACGCTATCGCCGCAATGGCATCACCCGTCTGGATGAGAGCGCAGAGTACGAAGCCGCACGTCACAAACGGGAAAAGCGCAAGGAGAACAAAAGCGTAGTGAACTCTAAACGAGGCAGCGGAGGAGGCGGTGGACTCGGCTCGGGGATGGGACTCGGTGGTGGCGTCGGAGGTGGAGGCCTTACTGGAGGATTAGGGGTAGGAGGCGGGATCAAGGACGAGGGAAAAGACGGGGAGTTCGCTGCCATCGAGAACCTGACAGGCTTCGAGCTGCTGTCGGACAGGGAGAAGGTGCTGTGCAACTCTCTCAACCTCAGCCCAGCGCGCTACCTGACAGTGAAAACCATAATCATCAAGGATCACTTGCAGAAGCGACAGGGCATCCCTGCCAAGAGCCGACTACCCAGCTACCTGGACAAAGTTCTCAAGAAGCGCATCCTCACCTTCCTCACAGAGAGTGGCTGGATATCCAGAGACGCCTCCTAGCGATGTAAGAGATTGACAATGACAACTACTGACTTTCACCTTTGTGCGATGGCAACTTTGTAAATTTGTACATTTGAGAGAAAAGAAGATGCCTGAAAAAAAAAACAAAAAACACTTTTTTCATTCAAAGGCAACAAACATGAAAAAAACTTTATTTTTCATTGGGACGGAAGAGTGGAATATTACAATATGTACATGAAGAACTGTAGCTACACCGTGATGACTACACTGATAAATGGTTGTTGCGTGTTTGCAGAGATCTTTCTAGTGTCGCACCAGTTTCATTCAAGGAAGACTGCTTTTTCGCCACGCGTGATATTTTTTAACTTTGTCCAGAGTCGGATCAGCTTGATCGGTGCCTGGAATTCTGAGAAAGAAGCTATAAATACAGGTATACGATTGTAACACACTTCCCTTCTTAAGGATATTGAAAAAGGAATTAAATGTTCCCTAGAATGAGCACTTTTGCTGCCTTAATATTTGTTGGCATTGGCGCTAAACAGTTTAAAATGAAAAAAACAAACAAACAAAGGATTGTAAGATTTTAAAAAATGGGGTATTAGATATTAGGGTAGCACATAAAATAGTTAGTTGCTGGAGGAACTCGGTCTGATCGAAAATCATTTCCTTAGCTGTCAATGGATCACTCACTCATTTCGGGAGCAACGTTTCTTTTCTTTTGACAGAAAAAAGTATTGCAAGAAACTAAACAGCTGGACACTGTGGTGTCACTTTTAACCAAAAAAAACCCAACCACCACTCCCAGGTTTTAGTAGGTCTGTGTGTAACTATCCCTCTAATTTATTCATCAAGTCAGTCAAGGTGCGATATCAGTTAAAGGCTAAGAGACTCCGACCGATTTCTTCTTCTTCTTTTTTCTTCTTCTTTTTTTTCTAATACACAATTTGATTGTTGTCATGGGAAAAAGAAGAAAGTGAGCATATGTGAATATGAAATATGGGTTACATTACCTAAGATCACTGCATGCATTTTAGTTTTTGCATTCACACTAAAAATGACTGGAGAAAATGACATTGTGGCCCCTTTGTATCACTTACCCCACTAAGTGCCTAGCTTGATATTTATTAAAAAAAAAATGAGCAGAACAGAAAACAGTTTCAGTACTGGCAGGATATTTATTAAAAAAAAAATGAGCAGAGCAGAAAACAGTTTCAGTACTGTACTTGTACTTAGATCGGACAACTGATGTTGATTCCTGGATGTTTATTTGGTCAAGGTTAAAATATGACTTTTCATAAAGTTTTGTGCAGAAAAAAAATTAGCTCTCATTGGTTTTTGAGGTTTTGTCTATACCTGTCCGTACTTGGTCTTTCCCTCTGGATGGTTCCATCACCACAGTTGTCCCCGTCGCTACGTCTTAGGTTCCTGGGCAAAGAAGATCTTGTAAGGGACGGGCTGTAATTGGTCTATTTATTTTTCCATCTCGGTGACCATCTTTCTGCAAGAAGGTCCAATTCCTCGAGATACCAAAATGTTCAGGAATTCTCCATAAGTAATCCCTCTGTTCTACAAGAACCAATGTACAATAGCTTCCTGTTTCCTGAACATTTGCCAAAGAATTTGTCTATTGTTATGATATTACCATAATAACCCAGATATTTACCTGATGGCTTAACTTTCCGTTTTTGAACATGTGCTAATTGAACATGACTTAATGATGTGGAGGCAGAGTTGTCTCTTAGTGTAGGTCACAGTGAAGTTGCTTAGGCTGCCCTCTCCTGGAGGGAGCTATGCCGAAACCTCTCAAGACTAAAAAAACCCAACCCCAATGGAGGCGATGGGCCAAACCGGAATGTGGCCTAGCGTAATGTTACCCAACAATTTTTTGAACCAGTTCACCAGCAAAGGGAAATGTCACAAAAATATATGTAGTGAAATATACCATCCTTGTAGTTTCAATTTAAGCATAGGTTACTCACTGGGTATGAAACTTGGTCATGTTTAGTTAAACACAAAACTGATATACAAGCAGGAATTGAAGAAAGACACACTGAAATGTCCTTTAACAGGAGTCCTTTTTAAAATTCTTATAGCCATTTGCTGACTCCTGGTGGAATAGTATTTAATTGGTCTGCCGCATAGACTAACAAAGGCAAATTATTTTCCATTAATAAATAACGGTATTCAGACCAAGTAAGTGACATTCGATAATTTTCCATGGTACACCAGATGATCTCTTACGACACACTAATGAGCTGTGGCAGAGTATTTGGAGATCAGTGGCCCAGTGCACCCTAAAATGGATAGAACTGACTCTGCCTGCAGATACATAAATGAAAAAAGCATATTTACAAAGTTTATCTAAAATTTACTGCAGTATAGAGATTAGAGGTGTAGGAAATTAAGGGTTTTTATTCAAAAATTAAAATGGTAAAATCTTTCGGTATAAGAGTGCTTATGAGCACAGATGCTTGTTTTTAAATTGTAAACCTTCGGTGTTGAGTTTGGACTGTCCGCTGATGTTCGACTCCTTTTTACTCTGCATGTGTTCAAAAATGTGTTTGAAAAAAACAAAAAATGTTTCTACTTTTTCCTCCTTCTAGTTTCCAGTAGAGGGCAGCCTTTTGTAAAGGTGGCTATTGGGGTGAATACTTTATATCACCAAATGTAAATAATTTTGTAATATATCAGAAAAAAGAAAGTATAATTTCCAACCTGTGAAATGTACAGTATTTTGTGACAAGATTTTTTATAACGTTTTTTAATTGTAAAAAAAAAAAAAGAAAGAAAAGAAACCATGACTTTGTATTTCCCAGAAACATCTTGTGAAGTTTGGCAGTGGTTATGGCACCTGAGCTGTGGTTGATCTGGTTTGCAGTCTGATGTTGTCCAAATCTTTTTCTGTCCTATTTCCTTGCTGTTGCACATGAGTTTTGTATGGACAAGTATTAAAAGTGCAAAATACTTTATATTTCTGAATGACTCCATCTACTTTCCTAACAGGTGAGAAGATACTTGAGACTGTGATATTTTCAGTACTTACAGTATTTCATCATTACAAAAAAAAAAAAAAAAATCAGCTTTCAATATTTATTTTGGCTACTAGTAAGCTGTTTATCATGTTCATTAATTTGGGTAATTTCTTAGAAAAAAATTAGCAAGAATGTTTATCCAGTATTGTGTATATACTGTATAATTATATATTTATGCAATATAGATGTGTATAGTGTATATATATACATATAATTACACAAACATTAATATATACACATATGTATAGGCAGATATGTGTATATGAGTATTAGCCTCATGGATAATTTGTGCCTTAATTGTTAAATCAAAATATAAGCCTAAGCTTTATTTCTTGTAATACAGTAATTGCACTATTAACTACTTTTAACTTTATTTTATAAGATTGTTCTTCCTATTTAATCTATTGACATGATGTTTAATCCTTTGCAGGGTCACGCAGGAGCCAATCCCAGCTGTTAATGGGCGAGGGCTGGGTGAGTGGACCATTGAAAGCCATCCAATTGAAAGCCAAATTTCAGTATTGGTATGAGATAGAAAAAAACCCCAATTCACTTACATCAGTATTGTCATTCTTTTTAATTACACTACTTCAATGTGCAGTTGGGAAAAAACAACAACTGTAAAGACAAGTTTCACATGAGGATTTAAAACATCCTACGGAATGATTACTGCAGTACAACCATGCGCCGTCCCACAAATATATCTTGAAATTATTTGTTTTTTAATGTTTAAATTTTACTTTTTAGACATTGAGACTTTAGCATTTAAGTCTGGACAATTATCTCAAACAACTGCCTGAATGACGTGACCATTCTGCTGCCAGACAAAGTATCTGATATAATGTGATGAAGACTGTCTAGGTATAGTTGTTTTGGAGGCACCTCGGGGTGAGGAAATCACGACAGTCCTGTGTCAGGGGTCGTCTGGTTATCGCGACCTGTGGTTTTCCTTAACCCCTTAAAAAAAGCCAATTTTTCAGTTTTAGTGTTTCTAGGGCGCTTTGGCCACGCCCACCAACGCCGGCCTTAGGGTGCGGCCATGGAGCTTGTAGCCTACTTTGGTCACCATTGCGATGGTGCCGGGTGTCCTGCCCTCCACAGGGGCGTGGAAAAGCGACTCGTGCTCGTATGGGTCGAACTTCTGACCTAGATCAGGGTTGAGCTTCACCAGGCCGTGCTTGGTGAACACCTTCTGGACTTGGGCCTCGGTCATCACCAGGCCATCGTACAGGTTCTTGAGGTGAGGGTTCTGGTCCGTCACCTCCTCTTTGGGCACACTCTCCGTGGCCTTTTCTAAGATGTCGGCTACTTCCAGTAGGTCTTTACAGAAGCCCTGGATTCCTGGCAAAACAAGGCAGAGAAAAATGTAATCAGTGGAACGTACTTACTTTGCTAACATTTATATTTGTAGAAATTGTAGAAATTAATCTGTACCGTATAATTTAGCATCTTCTACCATCTTCTTAGTTCGTGTCCTCAGGTTCTCTGTGTCAGCTAAGGCCCGCTTGTACTTTTCCTATTAGCAATAATAGTAATGTTAAATACTTTTCTCCAACTGTCTCTTACTCCTGTCACCCAGACCCAGAGATCCCTTGACTCACTGTCATGTCCAGGAGCTGCCCCTCCAGCTTGGTCTTCTCCTCCATCAGGAGGCTCTCCACTGTATTATTTTCAGCACTGCCCTGATCTGGTTTGTCGTCGCCCTTATCTGCGTCATTGCGATTGGCCTGCTGGGTAGCTGAACACAACTGTCGTTGAGATGCTCTGTGTCAGAAAGGTCACACAGTCACTCATTTGTCTGTTACTAACCAGTGTAACGCTCAAAGTCATCCAGAGTAAACACTACATGCTAACAAAGGCTGCTAAAATAAAAACACCACCATAGCTTTACTTCGGAAGAATGTAATGCTGCTGTAGTTTTTAATAATTTGAGTGACAATTGTAACGTATTTCACAAAGTACCCCTTCAATACGTCATACAGTGTAGCCCATAGAATGGTGATTTAACGTTACGCGAAACTCCATTCACAAATTGTTCATTTTAAGTCACGTGCAACATCACGCAACTGAGTGTGCATTCTTTGGCGTTATGGGTAACCATAAATAAGCAGATTGGGGAACAAACTTTAGATCGGCACTGTCACCGTACACACAGAACACATGTAAACGAGGACTTTTTGGCTAAACTTGACAGAACAGCTGGTAAATTTGCTAAGCATCAATCTACTTCTGGTTGTTAAAAATACATGTTTTCAGTGACACACAATCACACACTGAGCCATGGGTTCCGTACACATACAATTTTTTGGTAACACGTAACTCTTTACATTGAGGTCAACATTATTGAGAATGACACATAAGTGCCTAAGCTAAAGCAGCTATGGTGGTTACAGCCATTACATAGCAATGCAACACCACACACGTAGAAGCGATTCTACAAAAACGACCAAGACAACAAAGATTTTTACCGTATTAACGCAGGCGAAGCTACCATAGAGTAGCTCTGTCTTACTGCTCGCACGCACCAGCTCGCCATTTTTTAAGTAAATGCACCAGAAAGCTCCTTGTAACACACGTTGATGGGACATACAACCGTGTTGGTAGCACCGATAGGATCCAGCCAATCAGAAATCAGGACGGGTGCCACCTTCCAAAGGCGACCAGTTACAGTTGCAGGCTACTTTGCCTACGTGCTGCAGTTTGGTTGACCTAAAGTCAGAGGTGAAAATACGTAACATCAAGGACATACGTAGGTATGTTAAAAAAAAAACCGTTTGAAAACGTTTTTATTTTATAAGCGTTCCATTTTTATCCATCTCATTATCCATAATAATGAGCGAAACTCAAAAATCTTTCTTTTAAATGTCATTGCTATGAACCTAGCCAGGCGCTTAACAGTATTAGCTGAGATAAGATAATTAAATATTAGTATGTTTATTATTATTATAATAATTATTATTATCAATAATAATAATAATAATTATTATTATTAGAATGTGAAGTCACTAAAAACATGTTTTATAGAAATGTACAGTAAGATGTATGTGGAGCCAAACACAAACCCTACAAGTTATGTGTTGTCAGTAACCTTAGAAGTAGCCTGGAAACCAGGGGTGGGCCAAAACCGACTAGCTAGGAGGGTTTTGGGGTTTTTTCAAATTCAGCCTGCTTGATGAAGTTTGAAAGTGAAAAAATGTACAAACACTATATATTGGTGCTACTTTGTCAAATCATATTTCATTAAATATAAATATTTTCTAATATACTTATTATACTACTTATTTGCAGGAAAACAAAGGAGGAAACGTGGACCTATGGCTATTTAAAGGTAATTATGTTTTGATTATACTGGTCATATGTGGCCCCTGAACCAAAATGAGTTTGACACCCTTGCTGTAAATTCTACCATGTATTAAAGTCCTGGTTCTGGTTCTATGTCATTCTTCCTGTCAACATGTTTATTACATTTTTACATGAATATTAGGCTGACTTGACTTGCCGGGAAAGAACTGTAGACGGGTGATATATGATTTCAATTCACTTCTCTTTAAAGCTTTGGTAACGTGAGGAACTGTCAAAGGTGAAATGCACAGATGTGGATCTATTCTGTGACCTGTCAGTCAAACTGGGTGACTATTCAAAGCCGTGTTGTCACAGTCAACTTCACATCAGCCAATAAACATCACTCTGTGATGAAAATCACTCTTTCATCATCCCTCTTCCTACGTTTCCTCTACTTTTCCGCTGCCCCGTCATTCCTTTCGGGTCACATCTGAAAAGGTGGAGCTAATTGACAGGCATACCATTTCTCCGTGCTCCCTCCAGCTGTGACGCTCCACCTGTACCAATGTCTGAGTGACTGCCTCAGTGCAGGGGAAGAAGGGAAATTACGCATTCCATTTCACAGCGACAGGAGCAGACAAGTCGACCTCATTAGCAGGATACTCGTTTCAAGAAGTGAATCATGAATTTCTGGTCTCTCGGTTTTGACGGTTCCTCGAGCTCTGATGACTGTTCTTAATGAAGTTCTCAGAACCCCTTTAGATTTATGCTTAGTAGGAAAGATCAGGCCAAGTAAAAAAAAATCTTCTCAAATAATGTGGAATTAATGAAAACAATTTAGTACTTTTAATAATTTAGTCTCTTATTCGTCGTACAATGAATGAATCCCACGAGAGAGGCCATTAGAGGCGTGTGGTTCCTCTGGGAATCAAACCCAGGACTTAATTCTGTGTGCTTGCAAGGCAGCTGTGCTAACCGCTACAATATTTAAAATTAGTCTAGACCCAGGGAGTAGAGTTCTGGTCTACTCTAACAGTACCAGGAACTACCAGGTCTAATCTGAGGTATCATGACCTTTTGGTTCCCAAACAGTCCCAGCTGGAAGGGCCGGATATTGAAAAATTTGAAAAATCCATAATATCTGTCAGACTTTTATTGCAATTTGAATCAAGGATGTTTTTATCTTTGGATGAATGTGTTTAAAAAAAAGTCTGGTTTATATGTGACGGAAATCTATTTTTTTCTCATCAGCCTTCTCACTTGTAATCCTCTTTGCTGAGATCAGTGGTTTTAAACTTTTTACTGATTGGGCGGCTTTAGCTTTTGCTTCAAAACTCTGTGCACTGTAAACACTGTGTTTCTGCCAAAATGGCTGAAACGCAGTGAAATAAGAAACACATTTTGAAATAAGAAACACATCAGTGGTATTTGTTTCTTATTGTGTCTCTTTATCTGTAGTCTTTATCTGAGTTCCTTTTTACTATGTAAATATTTTTTCACAGGTCAACAACAAAAAAATGTATGCAATATGAATGAACTTATATGCAACAACAAAAAAATGTATGCAATATGATATAACTTATACACTGCTAATACTACAAATTCCGCCAGTTTATAGCGGCTATATACTACAAATTCCGCCAGTTTATAGCGGCTAGTATATACTGGCCAACTCTAATACAGAATTGATATGATCTTGTCGGCCAAATACAATTACACCATTACAAATCGTGATCTTGTCGGCCAAATATAATTACACCATTACAAATCAGTACATTATACCCCACTGATGGATGGAATAAAGAAAATATTGAAGTATGCCTTTCTATGTCCCCCTTGCACTAGCTTTGTGCCCTCTACTGGGGCCCTTCCCCCATTTTGTGAAACACTGGTTAAGACTATAGTTTTGTCTAAACAAATTCCATGTTGTGCACATGACCTAGCTGTAATATACAGTGTTTGATAGTGTACTGATTGATAATTCTGACTAAATAGGAAATGTTATTTTTTTTCCGATAAAGACATTTTTAAGACCATCACCATAGTATTTTTTTTTTACATTGATTAAACATAAAACACATTTTCAGCATTTCTATGTCAGCTGGCTATCTATGTAAAATTATATTAATGTTATTACTTTAAATATGAAGTTACAGACTTGGCCCCAGGGATAGAGAATAAATAAAAGCCTGTTTATTAACTAAAGATTCTCTGGCATCTAG